GGTCCACAAAAGGTGAACAGTGTTATTTCGTTCCCCTTTTGTTTTCTGTGTAACACTGATTTAAGCCAGGTTTCTCAAACTACCACATAAGGTATAGTCCTATATAGTAAGAATTTCTAGAAATCAGTGTCATGAGGTTAGTACCAGAACGGCAAAATTCTCAAATGAGGACCAATGGAAACACACATAAAAAGGTGAAAATGGGAAAATGAATGCTCTTTTCCCACTTCATATTTTTTCACGACAGCCTGAGAATCAAGAGGCATGCAATGGTAAGTAGGATATGGGCAACTGATCTATCTCACCTAGATTCATTTCAGTCAGACACTCCAGTAGTTACCTTTGTCCTTTCAGCTAAATCAGCCAGTGTTCTCACCACTAGCTATATTTTTTAGACAAGAAATATATCCCCCAAATCTCCAAACCCCAAACAATCAAGCCCATTAAATGTTTCCCCTTTTCTTCTATAAAGAACAAAGAATACATTACATTTTTCTGTGTGAAGTATGCTATTAAATAATAGCTTGTACACTAATTAAAGCAAATGTAATTGTGAGAACACACTGACATTGTTAAAGTAAATTACCCAATTCGTTAATAGTTTCATTTCAAGTGACCTTAATTGTATTAATTGTGATATTGAGCAAATTAAATTGAGGAGTATTAAATGCATTGTTCCAGTCTGTCCTTAGAGGATCAACTTTCCCATTACATGAATGAAATGGGAATACTACCTACTACATTCCTCAAAACTTATGTCAGAATGTGGTGAGTCCTATAACCTAGAGTAAAAAATTACTGCAGCTCAGAAACAGCTACCCTAGCTATCTTGTTTCAATGTAATATAAATCTCGAGCATTTGGAAATGAACAAAATACTTGTTAGATGCAGCACACAGTGAGAAAGCAGAAGTGCAAAGTTTCTGAAATTTCTCTTCATGTATTCAGTGTTTATAAAGTGCCTGCTGGAGACCAAAAAGATGTGATTCGTGTCAGTCTGATAAACAGCCCTATTTAAAAGAGAATCATTCAAAATTATTGTTAGAATAGAATGAACTATATCATGAACATTTTTTGAACAGAAAATGTAGTACAATAAAACCAACTTATAATTAAAAGAAAAAAAGGCATGTATACATACATGAATGTAAATGACAATACAACCAGATCCGAAAGTTATAATTGAAAGTAGAGTTTTCCTAAAAGAACTAAAATCTTACCTTTGAATTATGAGACTGCAGAAGTGTGAATTCCAGTCTCATAATTAGTACTAGTTGTTAAAAAAGAATGTATGAGTGCATATATACAAACAACATTTATTTCTCTATCTTGGAAAAAAAAAATCAGACATAAAGAAAACAATATAAGCCAAATCAACCATCGGAAAAAGAGTGAAATATTATCTTTTGTGTTTTGTGTTTTATTATTATTTTTTAATACTTTAAATATTAAAGGAGAAGAAGAAAGATCTTGACTGTTAGTTAGTAACTAACAACCTATTCTGACATCGTAAAATTGCCAACAAGCACATTCTCGTGACTCCTCATAACTCAAGATTCAAAGATCCTCAGCTGCACAAAAATTTGGATTGCTGTGACCACCCAGGTCTTTCTCTATATGACACTTACCTCATCTGCAGTGCTTTAGTTTTATTTGTTCAGCTAGATAATGGTCTTCTGCCTAGTATTTGCAACATTAAACCTTACAACTGCTCCTACTGAACCATGTCTTATTCCTCTCAGGCCACTTCTCAAAAATCTGAAGAATACAATTCAAAGTATGTTTGCCCTCCATCAGGCTAACAACCCTGTCCTAAATAAAACACGTTTGATCTCTGTAACTTCATTGAGATTGTAATGAAAGCACTGAATACTACTTGACTCAAAAAACATCTTTCTGAAATTCCATCCAATATATCCTTTCAAGCTGACAGCCAACAAATAAAACCTAGTCTACATGGTTTCCCAACCAGCTTAACAACAATCCATGTACTTCCAAGATTTCTGAGAAAGCCTTGGGAGATGATTTTGAAACTCCAACGTGACATTGTATCTCACAATTCTCCATCGAGCTTTAGTATCAGCTAAACAGTCCTCCCTGTGCATTAACAAATCTGACCATCTCTATTATTAAATACTTATTTTCAACATACTTATCAGTGACATGTCCATCTCAGTGAAGAATTCTGTAAGTTCACCTCCAAGGCAATTCTTTAAGCGTTCATAAAATAATTTGCATGTCCTGATATTCCACAATATTATACAGAGCATCTCCAACTAATGGACCATCTCTCTTGAAAACATCTATGGTACATGATACAGAATGATCGAAGATGGAACAAGATGTATCTTGCATTGTAATTGCTACAGATTTTCACCAAATAGATTCTGTATGTCACCTGAAACTTGAGTTGAAAAACATTCAGGCTTGAAATATTTTAGTGTATACACTGAAATTCAGGAACATCTTGGGATGTTCCTGTTAAAACGCTTGGGACCTGCCTGTCCCGACAATGAATTTATCCTAACTAAAGCATTAGTGTGTTTGTTCACATAAACCTTTAAAAGACTGGAAACCTTTTCTAAATTTAAGAAATGTCTGCAAGATCTTCTCTGTATTTAGGAAATGGTTGCATTTTCCCAATACTTATAGCATCCTATGGTATTTTTAAGAGGGTTTTCAGATTTTTCTTCAATGAGATAAAGGACTTTCACAATTTTCTAGTATGCTGCAGATCTACTGATAGAAAACTGGATAGGTAGAAGGAATAAAGAATATATATATATATATATATACGTATATATATACACACACATATATATTTCAATATGAATTATGTTAATTCTCCACCCAATTTATTGTTTGTTTCAAGAGTTAGATAGTTAATTTGCAAAACACCGATTGTTTCTTTATTCTAAACTTCTAACCAGGCTGGATGGACAGGAATGACTGTATACTTTGACATCCCAAGACCTAACACTGCCTAAACATATCCTTTACATAAAATTAAATATTAAAAATTCAAAGACTTATTTTGGATATATAAAGTTTCAAATTAAAATGCAGTATGTGTCTCTCAGAAAAAAAATACGAAGATGAAATGGATGCTTTATATAAAATATTTACATAGATAGCACATAAAAAATGTACCATAGTTGGTAACCTTTATGACTTGGGGAACCGTGTATTTACATATCTTTATCTTCGCATGTGCGTATGTGGTGTTGTGTATATATTTTTAACAGTTGACAGCTGTTTTAGAGCATACAGAGATGCCAAGCTGAATGAGGGTCTTGATTACTTCAAGATTAGCTATCTAAAGTTTCTATTCATTTTAAGTGTTGTTAGTGCGAAGAGTCATTAGTCACTTCCTTGTCTCATAGAACATCAGCATACATTTACATTGTTAATGAACATTTGGGGTAAATGAATTAATGGCACTTTTAAACATCAATTCAATACTAATAACTTTGTATGTCAGAAATGTTAAGGTTGGGATAAAAATGAGAAACCTTTTCAGTCAAGGTAACTAATCGCTTCTGGGCACAATAAAGGGTAAAATTAATTTACTGTGCTTTTTAACAGGGTAAAAATCTTGATTTTCCTTGAAGTAGAGTGGAGAGAATTACCAATATTTTTTAGGGAAAAAAAATTAGAAAAAGCTTATCTTTCTTGATTGGTGTAGACTAGAAGCAAGCTATATTTCCTCTGGAAAATGGTTATTTTCAGTTTCTAAAAATACATACAAAAATCCTTCCAGTTTATCAAACTAAAATCACTCCGTATCATTAAGATGTCAAATATAATAGAGGAGTAACACTGACCTGGAATCACTATTTCATCTACTCATCAGGTTTTTAAACACTTCCTCCTAGATGTTCATGTTCATTTTTTACTACCGAAAAAGCTTTGTAAAGCAATGAGGAAAAAAATGAAGAAAATTAACTCAAAGGAACTATGAAGCTTTACTAATGTATTTTGAAGTAAAATATCAGCTTCCTATAAACTGAAGTAATAAACCTGGCTAAGCAAAACTTGATGTAGCTTTATTAGTAAGCAATGGTAAACATAAGATTTATAGACAGATACACCCACACAGAATGGTTGATATGGGTGAGGGACTTAAGAAATGTGACAAAGTTGTTTCAACTCTGTAATTTAAAATAAATTTTTTATTTTGCCCTCCTGGTACATGTGTTCAATGACTGGAAAATTACAGGTAGTTAAGGTGCCATTGTGTATAACTGAGTACTTGAGGAATGTTTTCATGACAAGGATCTCAGCTTCTTGTTAAGCTTATCGCTTTCTTCGAACCAACTATACTGTCACTACTAGCAAATAAGTAGAGAAGACAAGCAACACAGACATGCATTGCATTATGCAAGCAGCTTGCTCTCACTGTTCATTAGAGTCTTCCAAATACTGCATTTAATTAATTTACTTAGGGTTATAAAGTAATTTCTACCTTTAGAGCCCATTCATACAGCTGACTTCGAATTCCAGTAATTATTTCAATGAGAACATTTTCATATTTTCTTATTTGAAGAAAGTGAGTCAAACAAGATTTGGATTTTTTTGCCTTTTTATATTTATGTAATCTTCTCTAAAATAATGCTTTGAGCTCTATCATGGTATTAAAGAAAAAAAATAAAATAAAAAAACTCTAAAAGCAAAGCAATGTAAAAGAGCCCGTGCTTCAGAAAGTAACATAGCCATGCTGCATTTCAATATTCTTATGCTGAAGTCAGTGTTTGGTTTATGATTAAAAAAGGATGACAGCGCATTAAACATTTGGCTAATGTTTCTGTCTGTAATTGAAAGTTGACTTTTTGTGGTTTTCATTAGTGTCAGAGTGCTCTACACACACTCTGTGAAATGTTCTTTAAGTTGCCCTGTTCAACTTCCTTGAGAGAATTAAACAAATTATGACAGGTACAGTTACCATGACACACTTATGTAAGGTTTCTATGTATAAAGTTTTTAAAAAATTACAAAACTCACCTTCCTCTGGTTTGTTCAAATAACTCTGCAAGGGATCAATGCCTATTTCTTGTTCCTCTGTTTGCAAAGGGTGACTAGTTTCAGACACAGAATGATACATACTGGCAAGAGTAATTTCCACCAAAGGATATTTATCTGAGGAAAAACAGAAAAACAAACACTCAGTGTTTCTTTAGCTATTTTGCAATCACACAAGTCAATATTGAAAATGCTTAAAATCTTTCCTTATTTTTCAGACAAAACATCACCATTAGATGTCGAATAGTGGAATAATGGTATTTCCATTCAAATGTTTTATTATTTGAAGTCCAAAACAATTGTTATAGTACCTCCTGACAATCACACTGCAAGTAAAATACATATATGGTTTTGAAGGACTGTGAGTTGGGATAGGAATGTCTTTCCTTCCTTTTCCAGCTTTTAGTCTGATTTTAGTCCCTTTTATTCTGATTCTAGGGAAAGTTGATGCTAGACCTTGGCAACAATGAAAGTTGTAAAGCAAAGCTGAGGTAAGACCCATCATCACCCTTCTGGACTCATGACACCTCACCCTAGAAAAAAATTCTCTTTTAACCACTTGTATTTCAGAAACCTTGGGTCAAATATGAGACAACAGGCAGAGGGATGCAAACATATGCAAAAAAGAATGAGACAATATTGATCAGTATGATTGGTGATTTCAGTTTTATTGAGATTTACATTAAGTTTCTAGAAGGGTGGTGTTAATGAAGCATTTGAAGAAACTTAATCTCCTGGTTAGTGAATATTTATAAAGAAGTTCCTCCAAAATTAAGGACAAAAGCAGAGAAAGTACGTAAATGAAAGCCCAGCAAGTGGGTGATACGGGTTCATCACTAAAGGCTGAATGGAATTCCAATCAATATCACACAAGTGAACAAGAACGATGGTAGAAGTTCATGCGAAGAATGTTTCAAGCTAATATTTGCTGCAATGAATAAGAAAATGCCAATAGAGGTAAAAAGCAGATGGTGTTATGGTCAGAGCAGCAAGACAGAGAAATGACCTTTCCAGTGCATTAACATAGTGCAAGAGTACATTTGTCAAGACTACATTTTGGTCACTGTACAGTAATTTATTAACAGCCTGAAAGAGATGGAACTATGGCAGCCAAATAGGTTTGATTTGCCCAAGCACAGTAATTAGCTACCTGTGTCTGCCATCTGAGTTTTAAGTATCACTTACTGTAACTGCTTCATTTACAGTATCTTAACTTTCTAACTCCAAGAAAATTGTATTTCCAAATAAATAGATAAAGACAAACACAAAGAGGTATGTACCAATCAGGATTGGTATATTATCAATTCAGAAATCACTTCAATTATGCTCTTCCCTTGGTTGTTACAAGGCATTGGCCATGTATGCTTAATACCTTTAGTTTATCACCAATAAATGAAAAGTGACTGGGATTCTTAAGACTTTTCTAGTTTTATATCCTATTCTTCAGCTTTATTGTCCTACTACATTATGTGAAAAATGCAATAAATAAGATACAAAGCTAGCAGGAGCACTGTTAGGCATTACCTTCAAACCAATCCACTGTGTGGGTTTTATCCCTCATTTGCTGTGGCAGTCGTGTTAGCATGATGCTGAAATGATCATACCACCTCTCCCACTACTGCTTAGCTAGAACAGACCCTCTGAAGCTCTTAGGAACAAGCAGCCAGACACTGAGGGAAGGCAGGACTACCTGCTTTTGCAGTGGTACAAGTTTATGTCAAATTATTACAATCAAATAATCATGGCCTCATAGAAACACAAACACAGCATGGCCTCAAATGATTCTTTGTACTAAGTCAAAAAAAAAAAAAAATTATGAGCACAAGTACACTTCACGTGTTTATGTGATTTATTAACCATAATCATAGAAAACACATAACTTGGAGAAAAACGTTTACCAACTTGCTAGCCACTTAAACATTTTGACGTTTACCTGCAGTCTTGTGGCTACATATTATAGACGGATGTTTGTAGCTACCTGATATTTTAAATAAACGAATGAAAAATTGAATTAAAAATGATTTTACTTTTAAAAACATTGTAGAAAGCGGTGTTTACAATTTTCTCCTTGTTGGAATTTTAGTTGCTGCTCCTGTTCTTTTTTGCTGTATCATTGTTACTAGCTTTCTTACTGACCTTTTGACTTTGTCTTTGTAAGACTTACAAGTTTATTTATACTGTCCTAGCAGAGTTTAACTTTTTATTGTTATGATCATTCAGACCGTATCTGAACAAGGCACAACTTGGATAGCCTTTCAAATTGAGAACCAGGCTCAAAACCACATTGTTGGCCTTCACAGTTTTAGCAGCCACCACTTCATTAAAACACAATGTGCTTTGGACTATTTTATTTATTTATTTATTGACTCTCCCCAAATGCCATGCCTTTACAACATATAAGAGCTACAGTTTACTTTACAGACTGTTAGAACGGTTTTAGACATCTTAAGATATTTACTTTTGATATTCACACAGTGATTTAATCAGTTATTTGTGTTTGCTTATGGATACATTTGATTAGTTTTCCAAAAAAATATCACTAACTATCAGTCTTGTCACTCCACAGTCCACACAATTTTCTTTGTGGTTTTATACTTAAGTTCTTTTCAGCTCTACTAACAAAGAACAAAGGAAACTATTAAATAATTACGATTACTCTTGGGATCTTACTCCAAGAAAGATTAATTCTTTACAGGTTTGTGGTTGATTTGTAATGGCCTATAACATATTGCTCGTATTAAATAAGATGCAAGTTAAAAGCTTTTTCAATAAGAAACAATAAAATTGTTATTAAAATCATCTAAAGTTCAATTATTAGCCTCTAAGACTTGATACTGCCTACCTCAAATCTCGGTCAAACTAGCAGTGATTCTGTTATCTATTCCTACCATTTTTCTCCAAAGACGAAGGCTTAAAAAAAACAGAGACCAGGCAACCTTCCCAGTGCTGGGAGCTCTACTATTCTTTAATATACATGCAAAAATAATTAGGGCTGCATATGAAACATTTATCTAGTTTAGGGGAATGAAAAGAGACATGAATCCAACCAAGAGGCCAAGGCATGTAAGCTCAGTGTTTGGCAATGCTCCCTAAGAGTGAGAGCAGGGCAGGGCCCAGTGCTGTATGATGTCTCCATTGAGGAGAGCTCCACAGGGCAGCTCCTCCCGGACCAACACCCCCAGTGAATGAACCCAGTGTGGTTGTCAGCACTAGGAGAGGCAGCCTGTCAGTACGTCTGTCACCTGTCAGCCCAGGTTCTCAATGGAGACATCAAAAGTCACATGAAAGATGAGCTTTAAAATTCAGAACTCCATTGGATGTGAAAAGGATGCTGCGGAGATACTGGCTTGTAACACATTGTACTCTCTGTAAATGGCCTCCTTCACAGTCATAGATAATAAAATATCCACCTTACTGGTTTCCACCTTGTAACAACCTCTTTCTGCATACCAGAGATCAAGTACCTGTTCTATTTATTATCTGCTAGCTAGAAATACAAGACAAAGGCAAAAGCCTACATGAGATCTGCTCTATCTTTAGCTGAAGCACCAATGAAGCACCAGTCATCTGGACTGGAGCTGGGCAAAACATGGCAATGTCATGTATTACGCAAATGTAAATTGACATCATTACAACCAGAAGAGTACAAAAGAGCAGAGTCATCTGTAATACATGTATGTTTATAATAAATGCTCATGTAATAAGCTGATTGTAATGAATGTTCAAATAGAAGTTGAAAAATTCAAAATAAAACCAAACTTTGTGGAGTTCTTTTAGCAGTGAGACTGTTCGCTACCACAAGAGCAAAATACAAGGCCACCCTAATATGAAAAAAATATTGTAAATTTAAAATCAGTATTTGATAAACAACATATCACAATCTGAACACAAACACTGTACTTCATTTCAAGCCATTAAGACATTCATTTACCTCTTCACTTGCAACAGATATTGAAATGCATATGGGTAACATGCATTGTTTCTAAAATAGTTACTAAATAATTTCATTTTTATTTTTTTAAAAAACACCTCTAATGTTTCCAATAATCATCAGTGTTTATATGGAACTTTAAAAATGATTTATTCAAACTATGAGCACAAAACACACCAAATCACACCTATATATTATTTACCGAAGAACATTCATATTGTTTGGGCAAAATTAGAAAATATAATCAGTCTCACAAAAAGTATTTAGAAGGTGCAACTGAATAGGTAAAACAGAAGTGGGCCATCCTGACCATTTACGATGACCATTTTCTCTGGAAAAGCTGGTGGTGAACTGAAAGGAGAGGAACTGCAGGCTGGACAAGGTCTACCCAGGTAGAACTGCATAAATTCTCATAAAGTCTCCAAACCAGCTTCCTCTGCAACCTGAAACCACTCTTAGGAAAACCAAGAAGGTACATGGCCAGGACTGCAGGATTATTTGAACAAACAAGGTACATTCCTGAAAACTTACCCCACTCTTGTTTTCTGACATCTCTGACATTGCTTCCCCAATTAAGCAAAAAGGTGAAGCTTTTAATGCTTGAAAAAAGGAAGAAGGGAATGTCCTATCTTGGAGGAAGAAACCAAGCAATGCTTTTCAATATTGGATATGCTAGGAATGAAAATTTGTGTATATCAATACCAGCAGTGATACTGGAATACAACATTTCTGAAAATTACTGACATGTAGCAAAGTATTTAAATAATACTTTGTATTCATTCCATTAGACTGTATCATCCACCTTCTCCATGTTATCTTTGGGTCTTTATTTTATGGCATATAGCAAAGTTTACCATTTTAATTACTTAAATTGATGACAAGTAGAGGAAATACTTGTTTTGCTAAGTGATAAATTAGCTGCCCTGTGAAGTCAAATTGATTAAAATGACCTGACTAAAAGCAAGTGTCTGATGTCGTAATGGTCTTATGCATGTTTTGTTAAGTTTGACAGCATCATGTTATGAGGGTTCACAATTCTGCCCCTCATTTGCAGCTTATGAAGTAATCAAGCATGTTAGCATGCAGAAGTGAGTACTCTCCAGAATGCAAAAAAAAAAAAACATTTTAAAGTAAATATGGAACTAAACATTAGAAGAATAAACATGCATTGTGTATATTTCAAGCA